CCTCAGTGATTACGAGCTTAAACGTTAATTTGTAATGATTATTGTGGATATTTGTGGTATTGTCACTATTGTCCTGTTATCAACTGAAGCTAACGTTTGGTGTTGTTGTTTTGTCTCTTTCTTTTTATTTTATTTTTTTTATTTTTATTTTATTTTTTTATTTTGATGTATACAATTTGTAGGTGGTAATAGTAAAAAAAAAAAGGGTTCTGTGACTACAAAACGTGGGGCTGTTGAAAAAAATCAGGATAATGGTAAGTATTCTGTATGGATTTTGTATGATTCTGTATTTTTTTTTTCTTGTATGATTCTGTATGAATTAAGTATAACAATGTCGTGTGTTATATGTTTTCTGTAGGTGGTTCCAGTAAACCGAAAGAGTCTACGCGTTCAACGAGTGACCCACCCGGTCAAACTAAGGGGGATGGTAAGTATATATCGCAACCCCTCGAGTGTTAGTTTCTTATCGCATAAGATGTCGTTGTAATGAGTAGTTAGCGTTCGTAGTTGGAATAAGTATATACGTGTGGTTTCTCAAAAATTGTGTTATATGTTTTTGTAGGTGGAACTTGTAAGCCTTCCAAGCCTACAGTGTCAATTCGCGACGATCAGGCTAATAAGAAGGATGGTAAGTATATACGTTAGTTTGGCAAAATTTTAGTTTCTGATCATATAAAATATTGTTGGAATGAATAGTTATCAATTTACAGGTGATACTTGTATTCTGTGCATTTATTATAAGGGATTTGTGCATTATTTTGTGTATAAGTGTGCATTCTTGTAGTTTACGGTCTTGTGCAATTTGCAGTTTATAGGTATGACATTAGTGTAGTTTATACGTTCACATAATTTGTACACGCTTTAGTGTGTATAATAAGATTTATTATCATTCTTACACCGGTTGAAGATATGTATATTTGGTTCGTACTAGAAAACACGTAATTTACAATGTCAATATGATAATTTAGTTTTTTTCCTGTCATCTTTTTTACTTATTTGCATATATGAATGCATGGATTGTAATATCATTATACTGTTAGCTAATACTAATTATTGGTTCCAGGTAAGAGAAACGCCGATCACGTTGTGCGTGACGTGACACGATCGAAGCGCGCGAATATGATTGCATCAACATCGAACCAACATGATAGCAGCGACGATTTTGTGGAGGAATGCCCTCGTACTCGCGTAAAGCCGGCCATCAATCATAAGGTATGTTTATGTACTTGTCAGCTTATTATTGTATACACAATTATGTCACAATTTTTATATATTTATTTTTTGTTTTTGTGTTTTATTTTTTACGATTTCGTACTTGTAACAGGTAAATGTAAAGAGTTTGTTGATCCTGGACATAATGTTGTTCACGAACCAGATAACGAGCTTGTCGTATATGAATCTGGTAGTGATGACGTTGTCTTCCCTGTTGTGAATACGAGATCATCAGCATCTACGTTTGTGAAGGCCGTGATTGGACTGTCTGATCCACAGAAACATGCAGTTCGCGAGATGGGCTTTGGAGCCCTATTAGACTTGAAGATAACGTCATTGCCATTGAAAATGGGGTTCTGGTTGGTGGAAAACTTCAACTATATGGACCGCAAACTGCGGCTATACGGTGGTGAAAAGATACATGTGAGGGAGGAGGATGTGTATACTGTTTTAGGACTTCCTCGTGGCTCGCTTCATATATCGAACAAAAAAAAGAGGGCGGAGTCAACCATACTTAGTCAGTGGATTAGCCTATTTGATGTTATAAGCTTAACCAATATCACAGGAACTAAGGTGCTCGAGAAGTTTCATGAATGTGCAGACGGCGGCGATTGGTTTAAGAGGCACTTCATTGTTCTGATGGTGACGTGCTTGTTTGAGAGCTGTCAAAACGGGATGGTGAATTCTCGTATTGTTCACTTGCTCGACGATGTATCAAAGGTTTCCGATATGAACTGGTGCTTATTTATGATCAGTTGTCTTGTGAACACAAGAAA